AAAATAAAATATAATATTTATATCATTTATATATAATAATAAATTATATTGGATTATATTAATAAATTAAAAATAAATTAAGTTAAAATAAGATTATTCATTTTAAGTAAATATTACAAATATTTAGAAAAAAAAAAATCAAAATATAAAATAAATATAACAATATATAAAACTACATATACACATATATATAAAACTACATATACATATATATATATATATATATACATACATATATATATACACACATGTGTGTATAAATATAAAACATTTTATCACAGTTTTGATCGCATATTTAGATTTAAATTATTTAACAGTCAGTAAAAGTGTAGTGACCCACCTAAAGATTTCAGCGCCAAAGTTGAGAAAAGCACAAGCAAAATGGGTATTAGATACTGGAGGGTGACCACAGTCAAGTAGCAGAAAACTCGTGTCACCTGCATAAAGGAGTTTAAAAACATTAAATCACTGTATTTGTAACATCACAAAGTGCATTTATTGTAAACAGTAACACTCTGCAATATTATGCAATATTTTATCTACATAAAACAATGTTACTTTGCATTTCAGCCCCACCTTCCTCTGGATGTCAATGGCAGCGATACGCCCCGCCTCTTTCTTCATTTGCTCTACCCACTTCTGAGCCAGATTGAGGTAGGCCTGCAGGTGGTAGCGGGTGAGCAGCAGCCGCAAAACACACAGCACCACAATCGTCCAAAGACGCACTGAGTTAAAGGCAGAACTAGAAAGTCTGGAAAAAGAGAAAGGACTTATACACAAATATTAAAATTGAAAATATTAAATAAATGATATAAAGAAAAAAAATACAATTAAATATATATATATATAAAAATGGGGGAATTTATAAATCAATTAATAAATTAAAAAAAAAAAAAAAACTAAAAAGCATTAAAATATAAAATAAATAATATACAATTAATTTATCTTACAAATCAACTTACAAGGTAAGTGAGGTCTTTCCCATGGGGGCGTTCCCTAGGAAGTCTCTAGCAATGGGTTTAATCCACATAACAAGAATAACCAGTGGAGACAGAAAACCCACGTGCAAAAGGATCCTAAAAGGCAAAACAAATTGTTGTGGTATATCAAATCTAACTCTACATAAATGCAATATTGTAATTTTTGTTCATATTTAATTTTTATACAATACAATCTTAAGTGTCCTACTGAATGATTGGACGGTCTGCGTTCATCTGAACGGCATCTAGGTGAGTCTGGGCCAATCGCAATCCAGGGAATGCAAGGAGAGCTCCAATGAAGGCACAAATGACAGCCAGACCCAGCTTGACTGATAGTTTGGTGAAGGGAACACTGTTAAAAAGTTAAAATATTGTGGATGTTTTGATGATAAAAGAATATATTGCTTGTCTAATGTTGTCTAACCATTGATGTATTACTTACGACCACTCGTAGCCATGCTGTTTGGCAAAGACCTCGAAATTGTCAAAAAGACTGGTAAATCCTGCAAAAAAAATGGATAAAGAACCACTTTACATTTGTTATGCAAGCAATTTAAGCTATTAAACATCATAGCACTGTGACAAGTGGTAAAAATGTCCTTTCGGTTGTAGAAATACAGGTCAGATAACCACATACCGGGCTCAAGGCCAAACTCCAGGTAGTCTTCTCTCACTACAAGAACCAGCATCGCAATAAGAAGACATAAGAAGCCGAAAGCCAGACACACCGAGCGCTCGCCACCCTCCTCAGAGCGAAAGTAGTGGCTCATAAGAAGATACAGCGTCCTCCTGAGAACTTAAGTCAAGGACAACAAGACAAGCCTACAAGAACTTATTTACAAAAAGTTATAATTCTGTAACTGTTCTTTTTTAGGACGGGGTAAGTCACATCTGAATTTCTCAGGTAGCTTCAGGTCTGTTAAGCCAAAGGACTGCAATGTTGAAGGATACAAGCAGAAGAAAACAGTCAGCACACACCAGATGGAAGCAATATTTACTTCCTTGCTGGCATCCACTACACTATAGTAGCCTTCAGTGAAGAGGTAGATCCCTGTGGCATAGATGGCGAAGTCAATCAGCCACTGGTACTCCACAAAGAACCGCAAAACTGTGAGGAGCAGTAAAAAATAAGATCAACCGATAAGTTTTTTCAAGACCAAACTTATAAACAGCTGTTTTTGGTGCAAGAACCCAGATGAAGACTTACCAAGTGCATCCAAGACATTTACAGGTGCAGTCTCCAGGTGAAGATCGATGTCTTTCGGAACTGTGAGTGGCTTGGATTCTCCATGTCCATTTTGTCTCCTGGAAACAACAAGAGGTTCTGAATTCCAACAGGTTTCTGAATTCCCCAACAGAAAAGTAACAGTTGCACTGAATCAAGCTCACACCTGTCTCGCCTGCTGGTCTTAGGAATCTGTTTCCCTGCGAGGGCACACAACTCGCCTTCAGATGGATGTTTGAACCTGAAAAGGCTGAGAAAAACAATATGGGGTATTAGAAAGTTTGGTATGTTTATATCAAAAAGTAGTGCGTGCTTACCTGCCGTTACATAAGAGCCAGCGTGCAAAGGAGAGATGTGGGGCCATTCTTTGCATTATGCTGACCGCCAGCAAGCTCACCACCAACTGAACTCCCATCAGAGCCTTAAAATAGACAAAAACATAGAGCATGTCTATTAGTACAGAAAATAATGTCGACTCATGCCTTCAGAGTAAATAAAAACAAACCAAATTCGCTTTTACAATGGATGACTATGGTTAAAATATGTGCTTATTTTTTTGCTTAAAGACTAATATTAGTTATTCAAACTATAAAAGTGTCTAAATCAGGGCTGTCCAAACTCGGTCCTGGAGGGCTGGTGTCCTGCAGAGTTTAGCTCCAACCCTAATTAAACACACCTGAACCAGCTAATCAAGCTCTTACTAGGCATAGAAACTTCCAGTCAGGTGTGTTGAGGCAAGTTGGAGCTAAACTCTGCAGAACACCGGCCCTCCAGGACCGAGTTTGGACAGCCCTGGTCTAAATCATACTTCGGCATCGGTGGGACTATTGCTAGGCAGATGGATATACGTTGGATTTGTTCCTATGTAAACAGTCCTCTTCTGGTATTCTTGCGCACGTCGCGGGAAAGTTACCGCATTTTTGTCGGCTTTATTTCACGAGGGGAGTTGAAAATTAAATGTAAGTTTGCACTGACAAGGTTAGTAAGTGATTTTATTATATTAGTCTAGCTTTAACATCCATAATGTTCAAGTTTCGTAGTTATTCTTCCAAATATATTGTATATATCCAGGGCACATACCGTCCCCTATTAGAATTCCATAGCAATATAGTAAACGCGATTTTTGTTTGCTTTACAAACTAAAATACAAGTCAAGGTGGTAATAAGCAGCATGTCACGGGAGCTTAATTTGTTTTGAACCCAGAAAATTCCTTTAACTTTGGTTCTGGTATTTGTACAGTACTTCACTACCAAAGCTGATTGTGGGTCTGTGCCAGTCACTCAAGATGAGCACTGGAGTCATGCTGTCAAAATAAGCAGGTGGTGGCATTGCAACCCCCCCAAGACTTGGGGAGGCATGGGTAGTTAGCTAACATGCTACAGCTAACCACATATTTAGAGCTACTATTGAGATCCAAAACACAGAAACAACTGCAATGCCACAGTTACTTGCACAAGTAAGACAAGGACTTTGGATCCAAAATACTACTAACTAGTCCAACACAAACCAGTCTGCAAGCTATCATTAATGCTAACATGAAATCAACATAGAAGCTGCAAACAACAATCAACCGGATCGGTCGTGTTAAACAGAAAATGTATAAGTCGATTTAACGGCAAAATAAGTAAATATACTAACCATCTTCGTTTGGTGAGTTTAATGAATGAGTTTATGTCCCATGTAGCAACTCTCGTGGTGACACTTGAGTGTTCGAACAGCTGAAGGAGTATTTTGATGACGGATGCTACAGTCGCCCGCTCTGATTGGGCCATCTCGATGCAGCATGAGAGCTGCAATTCTATTGGTTCGACTGGCAGTACATCAGCAAGTTGATTGGTCCTCGTGGTGGAACGGTGAATGTCGTTAGTTTGTCTTCAAGGGCAGAAATAAAACTGTGGGAGGGGCAAGATGTGCAAATGGAGAGGTGTTGTGGCAACAAACTTTCAAACGGCAAAGTCAGTTTTAGAGTATATAGTAGGTATACGCTAGGAAATGTGGATGGTTATTCACTTAAGGTCTTGATTTAATTAACTTTGTGCGCTTGAATCCTTTCTTTGGATGTTCATGTATTTTGTAGGCTTAGGAAGTTTCCCTCAAATGTGAGCTTTCTGCAGTCAAAGGTACTTATCAACCCAAATTTTACTTTACATTTATGCAGTCTATTATTGACAACGATCTATAAGTGAGCGACGCCTCGTGGTACCATCACAGAGAGGCACAAAATCACTTTCCAGAACACTTTCATTCACTGTTCCTGACTGGTGGAATGATCTTCCCACCCCTATCCAGAATGCTGAATCCCTGACAATTTTCAAGCGACATCTGAAAACTCATCTCTCCTCAACATTTGACTGCATTCTAATTCCTAAAAAAAAAAAAAACCTGCTTTCTCTTTCCTTAATCCCCCCCATCTAGTACTTGTACTGATCAGGGGTGCGTTTCTCAAAAGCATCGCAAGTCGTAAAAACAATCATAGACTGATCTTAGTAGGCTATAACGGTCTTTTTAAAAGCATCGTAAATTAAGTAGCACTTGAAAATCATCGCAGATCTAGAGTGCTCTGGAGTAATTGTTAAGCCCAAAGTGCATCGTAAGAAGACAGAGGTCACCTGCAAGACAACCGGCAGATTGCACCTTTAACTTTATTCAAGTGCGTGTGAGGTTTTGATTGTACTTCTCTTTATTACTCTTTTATTGTTTAAATGAATTTAAAAATGAAATAATTAAAAAGAAAAGGTAAGAAAATGAAAAAAAATATATACATAAACATGTATATATAGAACAGTGCTGATAAAACATGTCTGCAATAAAAAAATATTTGTCTGTACCTGTAGAAATGTATTGGCTAGATGAAGTACAAATATTTGTGCTACTATCACCCTTAATATATACACTTTATATATAAATAATATGTAAACTTGCATGTTTATGTTTGAAAATAACCATCAACCATTAGTCATTCACTTCAGAAACACTTGGAAGAACTCATAAGAATTCTTATAGTATTTCATAGGGCCTTAGGCCTTGGGTAGTTCAACAAACACATGGACATCAAAAACTTTGAATCAACATGGTTTTATTGATTTGAGTCAATGAGCTGCTGTTGAAAATTGTTGTTCCTCTTATTGGCCTCTTTAAGACATAGTCTAATGTCTTTCAAGACATCTCCAGCTGCACTGACTACAACCACAGACATTCTCAAACTGCTGAGGTGTTGTGGCTGCGGTCTGGACAACTGAAGATGCAGGCTGAGGCCTGAGAGGGGTTTTTTTGAGGACTAGGAGATGGTTGGTGCTGGCAGATGGCAGGTGAAACTGATAGTTCCTCTGAGCATGAAGGACCTGACTCAGGCTCAGGTTTAGGTATTCCTACTCCTCCATGGAGGTCAATACCACCACAAATGCCATCTGAAGTATGACAAGGCCTTTTCTTCCTCTTCTGTGAGATGGGGAGAGTCATTGGCCCAACCACCTGTTTTTTTAATTGCTATCCTCTGCAGTGCCCTTCCTTTTTGCCAGGCTTGCAAAGTCCTCCTCCATGGAGGTCAATACCACCACAAATGCCATCTGAAGTATGACAAGGCCTTTTCTTCCTCTTCTGTGAGATGGGGAGAGTCATTGGCCCAACCACCTGTTTTTTTTAATTGCTATCCTCTGCAGTGCCCTTCCTTTTTGCCAGGCTTGCAAAGTCCTGCCACTTCTTGCAGACCTCCTTCCTTGATCTCTTAACACCCCTGCAGTTAATTTTGTAGCAAAGTCCTCCCATATGTTTTGTTTTTCCTTATTTGTATGGTGTCCTTTAAATCTGCTGAAAATGACATCTTTGTTTCGCTCTACCTCCTCCATAACATTAATTTCATCTTTTTGAAAGTTATTTTTTTTCTAATCCACGTCATGTGACGACTTCGTTTCAAGGATGCGATTCTATAAGGTAATGTCTGAAACTTTGTATTATGAGTACTTCCTGTGATGAATCCCTTGTTTTATTCCTCAATTGTAAGTCGCTTTGGATAAAAGCGTCTGCTAAATAAATAAGTGTAAATGTAAATGACAACGGTTATGACATTCAGTGGTGATTTTAACTGCAATATTTAAGGTTTGGTGTTTATACCATGCTTGATTTTATGTTTACTACAGCTGTGATGATGGTTGATGTGAACAACTGTTAAGCCTACATTTGTGGGACTGAATCCTGCTCTCAGCTGTTTTTGATTCTTTAAGTTTTTTTTCTTCCCAAAATGTTATTTAATGCTGCTAAATTGATCAATCCTGATAAATTGATCACAACATGCTGTAAAGTGTTTACATATATATTTTAAGAATCCTTTATTGTCAAGAATCATGTGTGCTGTATAGGTCCTTGGGTTGCTAATATATGGTTCTTTGTAGATTAGAAGTTCTTGAAGTTAGATCACAAGATCTTAAGTTCTGCTTTTCCAAAAGCAGTGTAAGCCTAAGTAGACCATAGAAACCATTGGCACCAATGGTCTTTGATCTGCTAGGTCAGAGGTGCCCAGACTTTTCACTATGAAGGGCCAAAAATAAAAAAAGGAAAGAAATGAAAATGGCATGTTTTTGCCCAATTTTTTTGGCATGATATGGCATGGCGGGCCATATCGAAGGTCATCATGGGCCAACTTTGGCCCGCAGGCCCTGGTTTGGGCATCTCTGTGCTAGGTGTATGATGCTTTTTGGAAATGCGGCCCAGATCAGCATATCATTGGTTCTAGGAAGCATCAATTAAAAGGAAAATAAAGCACTCCAGTGTGATTTTCTAAAGAATAAAAGTTCTTTATGAAACTTAAAATGTTCCTGCTGTGGTGCTTTTAAACATAAACATTCTAATTAGAACCTAAAAGCAAGGTGGAAACCTGTCTACTTCCATTTTTTTTCCCCTTGGAAAACCATGTTTTAAAGAACACAGAAACTGATCTGGGGTGTGTTTCCCAAAAGCATTGTCAGCTAATATGGTCGCAAGTTCCATTGAACTCTATAGGTAATGACGGAACTTGCGACCATAGTTGCTTATGGATAACACACCTCTGAAGAAGCTACAATACAACATCAGAACATTCCAAAGAACCATATAACAACACAGAAACCCTACAGGTAAAATTTGTCATGATAAGATAGTTATTTGTTGAATATAAGAATTTTTATTTGTACGAGTGCACATGTAGTTTACATTTTGAGTTTAAAATCTTTTACAACAAAAAAAATTAGAAGTAGCTTTTTCAATAAAATAAATGCATTTGCTAAGAAATTGGACAATGTCTTTGTTGGCAAAGGAAGCAATTAAACAAAACCAGTCTAAATCAAATAATATCATCCTGAATAATTACAAAATAATTTGTGTAACTGGAAATAAATAGTCATAACATTAAACTTTGATTAATGTTTTCATGTTTATATTTTAATGAACTAATGATTTGTTGATGAAATTTTACGTTAAAAACGTATTTCTTTTCTTACCAAGACTTTTTACATGCCTTTTTTTTTTATTTTTTTTTTAAGTTCTATCACTAAAAGCTTTTAAATGAGAAATCCAACCAGTTGAACTGTTTTCAGCTTAATGCACCCTGTATAGGGCTGCAGACACACATGGCTTTCAGGCGACTTGCATGATAATTGGTC